TGGTGGAATTGGGCCAAGCCAGACTGCCAAGGTTCCAGGGCTAGAGGGAAAAACCTGCAATCCCAGAGTGTTAAATATGTCATCGGAGGATGAGTTACGTGGACAGAATGCAAAGGATCAAATGGGTGGAGTGGGCATGGCTCTGCAGAACAGTGCAGGTAAGAGGCCAGATGCTGGGTGGAGTCTATGAAAAAAAATGGAGAGGACCTAGTGGGCAGAGCTGGTGAGGCAGAGTCAGGCTGAGTGAGTGGAGCCCAGCTCGTAAGAACAGTGGGCAGGGAGAAGACAGGGGAAGCACGTGGGAGGAAGCACCCCACCCAGGACCACTTAGTAGAGCACAGCCTAGGAACCAGGAGGCACAGTGGTGCAGGAGCAGAGGGCATGGTGGGTGCATCCACAGGAGGTAAAGGGAGTCAGAAGAGGCATCCAGTAATTCTGTCAGGAGTCACTGTGGACCCAAAGGGGAAGCAGGGTCTTTGGGCTCTGAGATAGTAATATGACATCAGGGTCTGCTCCACTGGGGGCCTCAGTTTCCCCTCTTACCCACTGAGGCAATGGAGGGAGGCTGAAGATGCCATGGCACAGTCTTTCTATCTTCCTCCCACTCATGGGATGCTGTGTACTTTCTATATTTTCAGGTTGGTTGAGTCCCATGGGGTTTCTGGAAGGGGTTCTTGGGATATCTCCTGAGACACTTTGTGGGGAACAATAAGTTTTTCTGGTGTGTCCATAGAGAATTTTCTTGGTGCCTGCTGTTTACATATTGAGACCCTGAAGTCCAGAGAGGGTAAGCCTGTGATGCAGCCATCACTTGCTGGAGCCTGATCTAAATAGCACAGTCCCCTTCACTCACTCACTCACAGGCAGAGGTTTCCTAGCACCTGGGCAATGAAAAAAAAGCATTGATTAGGGAAGAGGCCTTGACTCTTTCCAGGTGCTACTTTGGAAAACTCCCTACGTCTGTAAAGTAGGACATAAAGTGATGTCTGCCTCTCAGGCTGGTGTAAGGCCAAGCTCCAGATTCATGATTCTCTAAAAGGCAGGGGATCTATTTTGACAGTATTATCATTTAGTATTTTATTTTCTTTTCAACATTTCTTTTTTAGTTGTAGATGGACACAATACATTTATTTTATTTTTATGTGATGGTGAGGCTTGAACCTAATGCCTCATGCATAATAGACGAACACTCTACCTCTAGGCAAAACTGCAGCCTTCATTTAATTTTATATATGGAAACATAACTCCTTGCATTAAAAAGAAAAACTATATTACCAGGCTCTGTCCTAGGCAGAGAGGACACAGACATGAACAAAACAGCAAGGAATCTCTGCTCTCATTTTTGTGGGGGCTACCATTCCCCTGGACTGACCCAAGAATTCAGGCACGAAAGAGACATGATGTACTGACCCCCTTTAGGCATCTGATCTAATGTTACCATCCATGGCAATGTTTTACCTTCTCAATTATTCTAAAACACACCCCTCACCATGTCATTTAGCTGCCCCA